TTTGCATCATAAAGCTGAAGCCTGAGCTCTCAAGAGACCCATCGACGCTGACCTGAACACAGGTCAATGACCAGGGGAAGGGGACTGAAAGATGAGACACTGCAGGGAGTGTGTGTGTGTGTGAGTGTGTGTGTGTGTGTGTGTGTGTGTGTGTGTGTGTGTGTGTGTGTGTGTGTGTGTGTGTGAGAGAGAAAGTGAGAAACAAACAAGGGAAGAAAGACGGATCGGAGATAAAGGGATGTTGTGTCACGTAGATTTGAGATTGATGTCGTATTACATAATTCCCTAAGAGTACGTGCTCTGTATTATAGTGTGTGTGTGTGTGTGTGTTTCTAACTCCTGACAGGACCTGCAGCAGCGTGTGCTTCAGGTTGACAGATAACATCATTACAAAGCACTGCTTGTCCTCGAACCACATCCCTAAGGCGAACAACACACACACACACACACACACACACACACACACACACACACACACACACACACACACACACACACACACACACACACACACACACACACACACACACACACACACACACACACACACACACACACACACACACACACACACACACACACACACACACACACACACACACACACACACACACACACACACACACACACACACACACACCACACACACACACACACACACACACACACACACACACACACACACACACACACACACACACACACACACACACACACACACACACACACACACACACACACACACACACACACACACACACACACACACTTTTAAATTTTTTTAAATGCAACTCTGCCTTATTTCATCGTTAAACAAGGGGGTTAATTTCTCTGTTTTTAAAACTATGTGGTATTTTTATTGAGGAAAATAATCTTAATCCTCTTCAGTAAAAGTTTGAGCAACTCTGCCTTTTTCAATCGATAAAAAAGTGGCTCCATTTCTCCGTTTTTTCCAAGGATTTGGTTTCATTTCAGCTGCAATGAAACTCTAGCTGAGAGAGCGTTATCCAAGAGAGAGGATCAGAGGGTCAGTGGGTTCACACAGAGGGACGCATGGTGAGGGTTTCCGTGGTATTATCCCAGACAGCGAGACTCTTTCTGTAGTACACTGCAACACCGGATACAAACATATTAAATAAAACATGTTTTTACTAAGTGTTATGTCTCTGTCAGAAAGTGGAGGTCCAAGTGTTTTCTTTTGTTGTTAAATACGTTCGGGAAAACAGAGACAGTGGGAAGCACAGCTGTCCATCGTCTCCATTATGTCATTTTATCATGAAGAAACTATATTTTCATTGAACAACTCAGTTTCCCAATGCGTTAAAGATTTGTCAACGTAGTCCAACACAAGCGAAAGTGTAGAATTGAGTGTGAGTACTTATATTTGAAAGAATAGAGTAGAACACTATAGTTATATCAAGAAAATACTATGTTGTCCATCAAAATAGTCAGATGATCAACGTCAAATAATGAAAATCATGTTTTATGGAGTCAACCTCATGACCTGTGACCTCTATATGTCTTTATTTTTGCACTATCTGAATCTGTATGGCAAGAGGCGTTAGTGAAATTGTAAATGGATATTACAAAAATATTTGAGATTTTAGTATTTTTAAGCCCTTTGAAAGACTGTTTTATTAAATGTTAATACCAAGTAAGGCCTTATTTCTTTTTGAATAACTTGTTTTAATGCCTTTTAAGACACATTATTAATAGTATTGAGGAAGCTATTCAGTATTTTTCACATTTATTTAATGTATTTATTTGTTATTTTGTAGAATTAATTAATTTACAGCCATATTATTTAAGTTAAGTTGTGTTCCAGCTAAAATGCTTTTATTTTGAAGGTGATGGGTCAATGTGGGCACACAGCTGGGTTTATTGAAGTCAATCAGGGCACAGCAGCCGTCAGTGGGCACCGGGAAGGTCTATGGCTTTTTACCAAACATTTCAACACCTTTTGCTGTATTGATCTTGCCAAGGTGAAGCTAATAAATACCACAAAAACATTGATGCCTTGTCTGGACAATGGACTCATTACCAACTCATGATCTGCGTAAGATCCACTATACCTTGTGCCTCAGTGGCCTTTTGAAGTTGTATTGTTGTTGACAAATAGCCACTACAGTATTATTACTATTATTCACCATTGCTCCTCAATCCCAACGGCTTGGATCACCAGGAGCACTAATGAAAACTTGTCATCATGTCTTCATAACTTACACCAAGACTTATGACCACCTGGCTGACATTTATATATATATATTTAACACCTTTTTAAGGCCCTTATAATTAATCTACATCCATTCATGTTAATGGTCTGCAGACAGCGTGGTGAGGGTCAGGGTGGGATCATTTCAAACGGAGAAGTGATGACGTTCTCATGCATGCCATATCACTTTCCTTTAATAAGTAGAATACAGTCTGAAGGAGAGAGGAGAGCCAGAGCATCCTCACCCCGCTACTGCGTGAGTCAGAGCCTTCAGAGTGTGGCTTTTCCATTTCCCTTCTCCTCGTGTTTGTCTGACTCTTTAGCACTTTTCCATTGTCAAGACAAGACGGTTTTCGGGGGCGTACGTTTGCATAATGACAATACCATGCAAGGTATTTGACTCTCTAATGGGTAATGGCTCTTTTAAAAGGGGCCACAGGAACTAAACTCAGGAAGTAAACCGTCATTCATGCTTCTGCTTTATCTCAAGAAATGCTGAATTAAAACTGGTTTTATTTACGACGTGATGTTTGAACAGGTGTCGTAAAGGAGACGCACAGAGAGATTGACACACCTTTAAGGACAGACGCCAAAGACGCAATGTTTTTCAGCCTTGCACAGATTGGAAGGTCTTTCCTTTTGGCAACCTGGAGAAGTGTTCACAGCCCTCCACTTTAAAATATAATACACTGTCGTTTGCCATACACTCATTGTCCTCAAGTGTTTTTTAGCTTTTAAGGTTATTTGTATAGTTACAGGGTATATGCAGGAACCCTGAAGTCAAATGTAAAACCTTTAAAGACCTTTTTAAAGACCCTCTCCATACATTTTAAGACCTCATCGCCACTTGGAGTTTTAACCGGTTACCTTGGCGACACACTTTACCTCACATTGACTATATGCAGTATTGATTGTCCTTCCTCCTTATCTTCCAACCATTTGGACGCAGACTTGCATTTCCCCATAACGATGTTGCTTAGCAACCGGCGTAAACGGAGCTTCGCGCTATCAAGCAGTGAGCGTGCGATGTCCTGTTCAGATGACACATCCAACGGGATGCCATCAATAAACTACACAGAATCACACTACACACCTACGCCATGATTACATTCAGGCAGACTGTAGAATACAACCTCTTTGGACCATTTATATACTTATTGGAAACAAGCTACAACATGTAATACCTTGGAAAATGCCGTTTATTACTTTTTAATAGCCTTAATTTTCGCTAAATTGATTTATCAACTTTTAATTCTTTTTAAGACCCCGTGGACCCCCTGAGTTAAATTTAGTGTAACTACTTGTCTTTCTCGTCCTTTTTAATGCTACATTGCTTCCTACAAATACTTACTTTTTATTATCCTTATATATTTCTTTTTTTACCTACTTTGCAACTTGTTTTTTTTAGATTGTTTATGTTCGCACCACCCAGAGGTCGCGTTAACCGAATATTTTCCGTCAATGACGTTTTTTTTTTATAACAATGACGGAAAAATCTGAAAGCCGTCCGTCGTTTTGACAGATTAGAATAAACTCAGAACAGCGCCAAAGTTTCCCCGCAGCGGGGCTCCGGTGTTATTATGCCATGTTATTATGCATGCCTATGATATATGATGGTCATTTGCAACATTATCTTGCACTATTTTCAAAGGTCTCAAGGACACCTTACCGAGGATAATTAAAAACAAGCAACAAAGAAGGTCAAACAGTAATTCGAGACTTAAAAAACAAAGTCTTAACAACAGTTTAGAGGAATTATGATATAGAATACGCTAGTTTTAAAAGGTGGGTTTTCAGGCAGGATTTTAAGGTTGAGAGAGTAATAATGATATAGTTTCCAAACCTAACTTTGCCGAACAGATCATTGAAATGTCTGTGAGTACAAGCTTTACGCTGCGCTCCCGCGAGGTGCAGTGGGCATGCATAACATGGCGCTAACAGTTCACCCCCAATCTCAACAGATTTTGACGGAAATGTCACGATCCTGTCCGTCAAAATGACTGGCAGCGAAAAAGTCTAGCGCAACCTCTGGCACCACCAGATACCAAAGCAAATTCCTTGTATGTGTAAACGTACCTGGCAATACACTTGATTCTGATTCTTCTGATTCTGAAGCGTCATGATTCTCCTATTGCACTTGATTTGAGAGGTGGTGCCTCCTCTGGTTTCTGCATCCTTCAAACTTTACGTCTCTATCGATGTTGCTTGTTGTTTACATCATTCTCAGGGAAGGCTATGTTTTCACACGGGAGCATTTTCCCGTGCTGTTGTTTCTCCGTCATCTCAGACAATGACCATGGTGTCTTAAAAAATACTGGTCGTTTTCCAAATGTTGTCAGTTTTAGTGGAGTAGTGGAGTCAAACAAATACATTCTGGGAAAACGTTATACCTCGAGAAATCGACAATACAGCTTTAGAGTTCGATGATCAAAATTGAAATTTAATTTTGATCAGTTTTTGATTTAGAAACAAAATCATGACATGCCTACTCATGAGCAGGGCGTTTGGACGAAGTTTGGATGAGGTTACTATATCCAGCAGTATGTTGCTGTCAAAAGTCACGGACAGTAATTTATAACCTTCTTGAGTTCTGGAAAAGGTTGCTCAAAAAGGTTCATGAGATCAATTATTTGAGCTCCACAGATTATACATTGAGACTCGGAGACTGACCCTCAACACAGCAGACGGGTCTCTCTTTGCTTCCCCATAACCTTAACTCAGATTGTGCAACCATTGTAACCCCGGATAGAGAACTCATTATGGGATATGAACCCCTCGTGGCACTCACCACATGGAAGACCTCCGCATCCTGACCGGTGCTGAGGATCATCTGAGGTTGGAGGCCGGACTGCAGGAAGAAACCGTGAGCCGACACGGTGCAGCCTCCACTACAGAGAGAAGAGAGAGGACGTTAGCTGGTGTTAGCGTTAGCATCAGCCGGAGACACAGTAGATCCCCACTGGGAGCGACCTGCTGTTGGCGTTAGCAGTTAAGCTACTTGTCACCTCCTACTCATTTCCTTCCTGTGAAGCTTTAATCTGTCTCTCCTCATCTACAGACTTTCCCACAACCCCCCTTGGCTTTCTCTCTCTGTTGTACCTCTTAGTAGCTCAGATTTACAGTTTGACAAATAGTGATATCCAAACCATTTGTGCAAAGGCTCTCAACATCTTAGCGCTAGCCACCACTAAGATGTTGAGAACGCTACTTCACTTCTTCAATATGTGCACTGATATTTAAACTCCTGCTACTTATATTTTCTTCTTTGGAAGTGTACTTATTAGATTTTAATGTTACATGTGGTTGCCTCTATATTAAATATGAAACCCTAACCCTAACTTTTCTCCCATCATCTTGTAGCTTCTTCAGTACTTTCTATTTGTTACACCTATTTTTTTAATCGCTGCTAGTTATTTTGTCTTCCTAGGATGTGTACTTATTAGACTTTTACTTGACATGTGGTTGCCTCTATTATTAATATGAAACCCTAACCCTAACTTTTCTACCGTCATCCGACCTCTACTTCCTTCCTTTCCATTGGTTCCACTTCATTTTTTATTAGACCGCTTCTCACCTTTTATACTTTCAATGTGTACTTATTAGAAGTTTTTATGTTAATAACGTGTGGTTGCCACTTTACTTAATACTGTTGTATTTGTATCTTTACTGGAACTATATCTTTGCGGAATCAACGTACATCTCCCCTCTGACTCTGAATACAACGTGAAGACTGCAAACCCCGTTCTTGGTCTGAAATAAGTCTCTAACCTGACGAAGGAGCGCGAGGGCTGGATGCTGTTGATGATGGGGTCTTGGTTGTAGGTGAACCGCACCGGCGCGTGAAGCTCCACCGAATCCACCGTCAGCTTCACGGGTTGTTCGGAGAGAACGGCGTGTGGAGGTGTCTTACAGGTCAGCATGGTGGAGGACAAGCTGAGGGCGGAGGTTAGGACGAGGGTTAACACATGACATGTTTTGTTATGTCTTAGTGCAATGAATGGCGGACATTTACCCCTGTTTTTTTGCATTTGTCTTAAACCTAGCCAAGTAGTATCGTAATATTTACTTACCTTGCGTAGTAACTTAAGTTATGTTACTATAGCGTCCTTATTTTACCCTTAATCACAACTTTTCCTTTGCTAACCAAATGTCACATACTTAAAGTTTACCAAGCTTTTGGAGTCTAGCGAAATACCTTGCATCTTGAAAAAAGACAGGGATACCAAGTGTTTTATAAATGACAAGCAGCAATATTTGACTAAATGTTCTTGGAGTTACAGTTAAGTCAAGACACATTTGAACATGTGTACCAGCCAATACATCTACACTATTATCCTGTACAACCTCCACAAGTGTCAAAAAGACAGAAAACGCCACAGAAAATATAATAGACACTTGACAAACAAACTTTATCTTGGAGAGATGTTCCTGTAATGCAGTTTGTGAGGCAAAGAAAATAAGACTGTAAACTGACCTCTGGACCTTACAGGCTGCTTTCCCTATCATCACTTCTCTCTTGTTCCCAGAATCCAGGAAGGCTCCTCTGATGGTCAGCATGGTGTTTCCAGACTTTGGTCCGAATGTCGGGAAGATTTCGCTGATCACAGGGTCCTGGAAGCAGAGACCACCAAGACACATTCAATATCTCTCATGTCTTATCTTTGGATTCTACCAATTTGCCTAAAAAGCGACATTTCTATATGTACGACTCATCAAGTGTACATGCTGATTCACTGTAAATGTTGTTCGACAAACACAGGATACACAGAATGTTTAAGTGTAGGATTGGTGCAACATTAAGAAAGTATTTGGAATAGATATGTGACCCGCTCTATCGAAATCAGTCGGAAGTCGCAACGGCTCATTTCAAAATAAATGTGGATTTACGTAAAAAACTATTTTTTCGGGGTTCGGGTGTTTTATTTGATTTTTAATAAACAAAGTCTTGGCTTTCAGAATATGAAACTTTTATTTCCAAAATCACACGATAAATACATTTTTGAAGCTTGTAAAGGGACGAAGACAGGCACCTCTCCCTAGCAATCTGCTCTTCCGCAGCGCCGCCGCCCTCCCTCCCGCTGACATTATGTAAGAGTATAGTAATCATAGATAACACGGCAGGGTCCGTTACAGTTTGTTTTCATCTGATTTCAAATAAACAAAGTCTTGGCTTTCAGAATATTAAACTTGTTTCGGCAAATTCAGATGATAAATACAACTTTGAAGCTTCGGTATAATTACAAGCGGAGAACGGAGTAACTTTACGTCACTGCAGGCATAACAACAGCCGGTGTTTCTCGTGAGGGTTTCCCCGGGAAACAAACACAATACACACAAACGCAAAATTACACACACACACACACACAACACACACACACACACACACACACACAACACACACACACACACACACACACACACACACACACACACACACACCAACACACACACACACACACCAACACACACACACACACACAACACACACACACACACACACACACACACACACACACACACACACACACACACACCACACACAACACACACACACACACACACACACACACACACACACACACACTACACCACACACACACACACACCACACCACACACACACACACACCACACACACACACACACACACACACCACACACACACACACACACACACACCACACACACACACACACACACCACACACACACACACTTCCCCTCCAAATGAAAATATCTTCCCTCCGTAGTATTTTGATCATTTGCTAATAACCAATCAGATCGATGGATTCCAGAGAAGAGAAAACTTTGAAGGCCTTTTTCTCAAAATGATGACTCGGGGACAGTCATTATATAATGTGACATATTTCGCTTTATATTTGGAGTACAAAAACAATCCTGATATCATTAGAAAGCTAGGAATCTCCTCTTTCCAGCAGTGTATACAACTCAAAAGGTGTCTTCGGGTCAATGCGACTAATTTTGATAGAGCAGGTCACATATACATATACATCCATATAATGTTGTTCTGGGATTAGAGTCTAATTATTAGCACAGAAAGAAACAAATTGCATGGTTTGAAAACTGTTGTCCTTTTTGTAATTCTAGAGGTTGTTAGCGAGTGGTCCAAAATAGCATTATACATGAAAGTGGTAATCACACAAGGTTTACTACTTCTTCAATTTGTGTTGGTGTATTAAGTGTACCATCTTATCACTGTAAATATGATATCGAAACACAATATCTGTTGTCCGTTTTGTCATTGGAGAGATTTTCATACTTGTGTTAAGAGGTACTATTGAACTTTTGAGTTTGTTTGCGGGGGTTGACTACTCCTTTTATCTGGAGGGGAGGCTGTGGCTCAGTGGATAGTGTGCTGGACTTCGAATCAGGGGATAGCAAGTTCGAGTCCCACTGCAGTCAGCATGTCGTTGTGACACTTCACCCCAAATTGCTCCTGTGGGGATTGTCCACAGTACTGCATGTATGTAAGTCGCTTTGGATAAAAGCGTCTAACAAGTGATGTAATCTTTGTCTTGAATGTAGGACTTTGTATTATACCATCAATATCGAAACACAACAAAGATAAGGAAGGGAAAACGTCATTCTTACCACAAAAGTGAAGCCCTCCATCGTGGCCACCATATTTCCACTGGTGACCTTCACTGTGTGTCCTGACGGGGTGAAGTTCCCGCTGAACACGGGGGAACACTGCATCTCAGTCCACCTAAACACAAACCCCCCAACAACACAGATCAGGCATTATACCCTGCCACAGCCAACAAGCATCCTAATTCAATCATCTCTAGCTCTGCAGTAAACGCACACACAGGCAATCTTCATCTGGGATTGGGAACGTTGTTTTTTTTATTTGTTTCATTTATTTATTTGCAGCGACTTTTCCCAGCAATTTTTCAGTTAGGGGAGTCATGTGTTGTGTTGCAGGAGAAAGAGGGGGCTTCCTAACATTCTTGCTTCAACACAATAACCCCTGTTAATCTCCTGCCTTCCCCCTATAGGACGCCAGTGTCCCTTTATCTCGTAAACACACCACTTAACACACACTCTGCCTCTCAAATATGGCTCTCCCAGATACTGTGCGGAAAACAAATCATTATAGGACAGCATTATAACATTGCATGCCGATATACAAAAGTACATCAACAACACACAGGCATGGTGTGTATTCAGCAAGGCGTGACAAACACACACACCTGTTGATACTGTCTTGTCTGGGCAGTTTGCAGGGAGCTCCTGCCACCTCCACCGTCACCACAGACCCCTTGAAGTTCTCCGTCTTGTCGAATCCAAAGTTTCTCCCACACATGGTCACAGTTGTAGAACCTCGTATTGGTCCAGAGGTTGGAAAAATCTAACGTACACACGAGAAAAATGTAAGCATTATTGTCATTGGTGGCAATCCATACAGATGAGTGTCCTGACATTAGACTAGAATCTCAGAAGATAATCCTTCTAGGTGTTGTATAAAAAAACAACCAAGCATCCTTTCTTTAGTGAGTTACAGCTATTTTTAAAGTGTTGCCTGTTAAATGATTCACAGAGTAAGAGTTTACAGGTTCCTGTCCCATTAAGCCACTTTGTTCCATTAAGGGCGGTGTAGGTGGCATCTTGTTTAGTTTTTTATATATGGAAACAGTCTGACAGCATGGGGTGCAACATTAAAGTCAGAAAGAATGAACACCACCCACACTGAGCCCCCAAAGTGTTAGATAGGACAGTGCTGCTGTTCATGAGGAAGGAGCATGACCTTCAAAAATGCTAAGTGTAGAGACCCGAGCATTTAGACAGAGATTGTGGGTTCAACAGACGCTTATATGAGCTAATATTTTAAAGGGGCCCTATATTATGCTAATTCTTAGGTTCATATCAGTATGTAGTTTCTCTGCTGTGACATGTCTCCATGCTTTAATGTTCAAAAAGCTCTTTACTTTTCTCATACTGCCTGTCTTTTCACCCTCTGTCTGAAACAAGAGCTCAGTCTGCTCTGATTGGTTAGCTGACTGGCTCTGTTGTGATTGGTCAACCACTTGGAGATGTCCCGCCCCTTAGCCTAATACGTACAATGTGTTGGAGCGCTAATATTCTACATTACCACATGCCATTTTTACTCTCTTAGGGCTTAAACACAAACAATAATGTAGCTAGTGAGTACAAATATTAAGTTACCGGCCATAATTATCACCATGGTGACTAACTGTGGTTACCTTAGTGATGACGGGTGTGCAGTAGTCCTGGGTCCAGAGGGAGGGACACTGATTGGCTCTGGTGCAGCGTCCATCACACCAGCCACATTCTGTCACCCGTGACGACAACAAACAGGAAGTACAGGTGGTCAGCTGATCACAGCCGGGGCCAATCAGAGGGACTTTAGTGATCTGGAAAGAGGAAAGAAAAGTCTGTAGTGTTAATGTATTATCTCACACACAAGCAAAGTGTTTCCCCTCCGGGACGATTGGATTAGAAGTCGAAAAAAACGTTAATCCTGTTGGCTCTTTTCTGTGTTTATCTGCTTTTAGTAAAAGAGTGTGTGTGTCATCATCTCGCTAATGCAAGGAAATGTACAGATTATGTTCTTGTTATGATTGTTCCATCTTCTGAAGGGCTCGGTGTTAAATGAGTGGAATATGGTTTCAAAAACAAGTCAAATTCAAGTCCATCTCAAAAGACAATCCAATGCACGAGGTAGGGTTAGTGCAAAGTTAAAATGCCTTTATTCTACAGGGCAATCTAAAATGATGAAACTATGTTAGTCGCAATGGTTTTGAAGTCTTCACAAGAGGAAATAAGCCTAGCACACTTAAAGTATTTAAAAAGGCAATGATCAACACAAATAGCAGTGTTTCCAGTCCGTCTTCTTTATGCTCTTGTTATTCTTGAGATATGAACACGGGACATAAACTACCAAATGTGTAGGTTACTTTGTTTAGGAGAAAATAAAGGTGATTATTCTCCGTGTTTTAGCCCCACCTTGTTCCCAGTGGCCATCAGCAGAGATCCTCCTGAGCCGTCGGCCTCCAGCAGAGCAACGCTGGCCGAGACGGGCTGAGAGTCCAGACGCACGTTCACATGAGGGGAGGCGAAGCGGGAGACAAGCACCTGAAACATGGAGAAGTCATTTAAGACAGGGATACAGCACAAGTAAATGCTCACACACTTATGACTTTAGACTTTATGACTCAGCCTATCATAACAACCTAGTGAGGCTGTCTAACAACATCATCTCTGACCCAAACCATGTTCTGAACAGAGAATATGAACTGCTACCATCTAATGGGAGATACAGGGTCCCACGATTCAATAAGGTCAGACTGAAGCATCCTTTGTGCTCCAGGCAGTCCTCACAGTAAACTCAGAGCTGAATCAAATGCACGCTAAAGGCTTGAGCAGGTTTTCTCTCACTGATCGTGTGTTAAATGTTTGTTGTTCATGTATTGTGTCCTGATATTTGTCTGTTGGTGTTACACATGGAGCCGCTGTTATGCAAGTCAAATGTCTGTCTTGATCTGACCAATAAAGTAATATCGTATCGTTCACAGATGAAAAACTAAAACAAAAAACAATAGAATAAGCTGCGGGGGAAGATTAACGGCGCCATTTCATCTCATCCATTTCATCTTATGCATGTCTCTATTTATTAGTTATGTTTAGTGTTTATTTTTGTTCTGTTATAACGCCTTTGGAAGTTTAAAATGTAGTCATGCCAATAAAGCCTCTTTGTATTATTGTATTTAATTGTATTGTATCTATTTAGCAAGTAGTGTAGCCATAGGAGCACATGCATGCACTTGGTCTTGCAACAGTTCATGGTTTACTCCAAAACAAAAACTTACTCTCATTAATTAAATTATTTTTTTATATTATATTATATTAAAGTCTTTTTATTTCATTATAGTGTACAGTAATCGATGCCATTTCATTTATATTGTAATATCACAGTACCACAGTATACTCACTACACTCCCTCCCTCCACCCGCAAAAAAAAATGCTTATCAATATAACTTAAACAACAAAGCCATGAAGATAAACATAAAATGGAGAAAAAATATGGAAAATAAAATAAATAAATAAATAAACCCACATCAAAGTAAAACAAACAAATAATTATACAATACAGCGACAATATAGACAACACAACTAGTATTTCCGGCCGTCAGGAAAAATAGCCACAAAGTGCACCATTCCATCACTGGTCATATCTCAGATATATTTTCAAATAAGAAAACAAAGGCAACCACAGAGCTTGAAAGAAATGTCCACGATTATATTTTTCCAATGTCATTTTCTCCAGAGGTAAAAAATGTGTTATCTGATCAATGAAAAGTTTAAATGTTGGAGGACTTTATTTATTTATTTAATTTTCTAATGTAAAGTCAATGTCGTCACGTCATGCGACATGACTCAGTGTCATTGCCTGAGACTGAACTGAAGTTGCTTTGTTACAATAGAACAAACGCAAATAGAGATGAAATCAGCAAACAGGTAACCAGACAATGTTTAAATTGCCTTAGTGCCAGAAGTACTATTCTTTAAGACGCTGCACGTCAATTGACAAACTAAAAAGTTGAGGGCCTGATGCTGTATTTCTCAACAAATAATCTAAATGTTTCTCTCCAGCAAGTGCCATACATTGAAACCTCAGGCTTATATAGTGGCTAAGTATGTTGCTAAAGGCACAGCAGAAGGAAACTAAGTCAAAAAGACGCACAGCCCGGGCCGTCCACACTACAGCGTCGACAGCTTCAAAAACTGTTTCCAACGCGTCTGCCCATTCACTTTGAATGGGGTGACGTCACGTTGCCTCGCTTTTCGCCGAACTGAATTGTGGGTAGCATAGCGGTCCGTCTCCGCCGTCTTCTGACGCCGGAGACGCCGGAGTAGCCAGCGCCAGCCAATCAAATCCCGTTTCTGAAAATCTGACAGCTCAAGCCGAGGCCAATCAAACCGCGTCTAAGCTGGGAGAGATATCCTGCCGTTCATTTCTATATTTAAAAAAAAGATGGAGGAGAAACTAATTATCGCCGTAGCGAATCACCCGGTTTTGTATGACCAGAACCTCTTCACCTACCGGGATACAAACCGGAGGAACCAGGCATGGAGGGAGGTGGCAGAGACAGTGGGTGAAACTGGTAGGTTTTCGCCTGTTTGGGGCGATATATATATATATATATATTGCTCGCATAAAATCCCCGGGGTTTTTTGCTTTGTATGTCGGGGGCGGGAGATCCATGTGATTGGTTGTTGGTCGCGTTGCTCGAATAAAATCCCCAAGCTTCAGACACGCCCAGCTCCAAGCTTTTTTTGAAGCTGTAGTGTGGACGCTCCGTTAGCGAAGAAGTGACTGCAGTCCAAGATATTTAATGTTTGTTCACAATAAAACTGATATGTATTTGAAGTAAAGGTCAGCTAAGGACACCTGGTTAGGAGGATGGATTTTGTCACTGCTGTTTCACCACCGTTGTTGACTTAAGAACATTTCTATACATCGTAAGTTGATACAGACAATGAATTACATTACAAGGAAAGATTATACGGAGTCTTTGAGTCGACAACAACAGATCCACAGCAGCGCCTGAGGACAAACAAAGCCTCGATGATCGGGAAGTGGAAGACATCGACAGGTCTTTTGGCGCTGATCCAATGAAGGATCCAGTGGAATATGATCCAGACTGTGTCAATCTTTCCCAGTGTATTACCCTTACAGCAGCGTTGTATTAAAAAGCTAATTCATTACAATGTTTACTCTTCCTCAGGTGTCAAGGTCCGACAGATCTTTCTCACAGCAGACGTTTGGAATTGTCAAAGCAGTTAAGGTGTAATTGATATCATTAACTATGCGTCTGTGTCAACACCACTTGCCGTGAGAATGCATAATGTTAGTGTGCAATTAGTTACAGCCATTATCAATGATTAATCCATTAGTTTAATATGTTTGGCAAGTACAATGTCCACCCTGGGCTCGGTTCATAATCAATCCAGATTATGCGTCATTATAGGGGAAGTTTTTGCCAATTTTACAGCATCCTGACTCAAACCTTTTAGCAGCGACCAGCAGCTCTATAGTTTGCTCTGCAGGCGGTAGGCTAGTCCACAAACGTTAAAGGGCCCATGTCATACTTTCCGGTTATCACCCGTCCCCTTGTGTGTTATAGCTTTTTCTGCATGTAAACGGTCTGCAGAGTCACACACCCTCAAAGTACACCCTGTAGCGAGTAAAACTCTAACACAGAAAAGACCTGTCTAGCCCCAGAACGCCTCGTTGGAGATTTCTCATTTTCTTTCTGGTACCAAGAAGTAACGTGACAACGACCAAATGGACCAATCGCTGTAGCTCCACACCCACCCACTCTTTGTAAGCCGAGAAATGGAAATAAAGTGTTGTTAAAGTTAGGGCTGCTCGATTGTGGCAAAAATCATAATCTCGATTATTTGGGTCAATAATTGATATCACGATTATTAAAAACGATAAATTTACTTTGAACAGTATGTTTTTAACAGTTGATTACCCTGAACTTTAAGTATAATTCAACTGAAAAAAAAAAAAAAAAAAACGTTTTATTTCGATTACGTTGTTTTCATAATTGTTGCAAGCCAAAAACGTAATTGCGATTAAAATACGATTAATTGAGCAGCCCTAGTTGAAGTTGTGTGTGTCTGAATGCATGAACACAACGATGCATGCGTGATTTTTTGCAGTGTTTGCACGCTCTTGCTTTTCAAAGCGTATATTCCATCTTTTGTTATGTTCTCATAGTTATGAAGTAAAGTGCATTTTATCCGTCTTATATAATGTCTGCTTCTTCCTAATAAGGCAAATAAACACGTTTACACTTGACATCTCTGGACATTTAATTCTTTGTTTTCTTTCCAGTAGTTATATCCACGAAGAATATCCACTTTGATCTTTAAGGCAACCATTTGATCAAGGCATGTTAAAACCTTAACAAACACTGGAGGCAGACGCTCGCCATCTATTCAGTATTTTCCGTGCAATCAGTCGAATTTGACAGCTATAAAATTGGTCTGGCAGTAATTCAGCTTCAGCCTTTACAAATGCCTGCAGACACAACGTGTTCATGTTTTGAATTAACTGCACTTTATTTGAGTTACATAACTTTCGGTAACCTAAAATGCAGTAATACTTACAATTTGAAGAGACACATTCTAGTAGTGACTTTACATTGAGCTGTTAACTTTCACTATAGAGACGGTTTTAATTGAGAGGAGACAAAAGGATGCACTTTATATCCTCTTCCAACTTGGGCGGTGTTTCAAGCACATACTGTAAGTCGGCAAACTTGCAACACACACTCTCCATCTATCATACTCACTCACACACACTTTTGTCTTTATCTCTGCAATCTCCCACATGCACACAAACACTCATCATGTACGTAAGGCGGTATTATCACAAATGTCATTTACACACATATTCAAGAGTAAACACAGATAGATACCCACACACACACACACACAAACTGATGTACACACTGTTCCCTACTTGTTCTCTCTTCATCACACAGTCAACACACCTGGAACAGCATTCATCATTTGCGGTTAAGATGCAATTACAGGGCCCGGGTTACTGGGTCTCTAATGGGCTGCGTGGTTGATCCAGTTACATGAAGCAAGCGCACACACACACACACACACACACACACACACACACACACACACACACACACACACACACACACACACACACACACACACACACACACACACACACACACACACACACACACACACACACACACACACACACACACACACACACACACACACACACACACACACACACACACACACACACACACACACACACACACACACACACACACACACACACACACACACACACACACACACACACACACACACACACACACACACACACACACACACACACACACACACACACACACACACACACACACACACACACACACACACACACACACACACACACACACACACACACACACACACACACTCTGCAGGGATGGGACTTTTGGTATGCGTGTGTGATTCCATTAAATACTCATAACACTCTGTATTGTAAACTTTAAATGTGATTTTGTTGCTTGGCTGACACTCCGCTCGCCCTCCTTGTTTCCCGGCTTCATTCCTCCCACTGTTTGAGCCTCATGATCAACGTTAGCTTTGTGACAGCGAGTATAATGGCAGGCTTTCCGCTGGGGACAGGGCCATACAACAGGCATCTCTCTGGAGGTAATAGCGGTGTAAATTACAGCTTATTGTATTAAGCAGGCGGGGGGGAAGTTTGGCCTCTAAACACGGCTTCTGTGTTATTCCCACAGTGGCCCAAGTGAAGCCGAGGGAAACACTTCCTGAGCCAGAATGGAGTTCATCGGGGGGGAAACAAAACTATGTTTCTGTCACTGACTCGACTCCTTGTTCCCCTCACTGGGAACAACCAGGAAACTGGAAAACATGAAAACTTGACAGGTTATTTTTTAACGTACTAACAATGAAATGCGTTGCCGACAAGGACTACCAAGTCTTGCAATCCCTATTGTAGCTAATCTTTGGGAAAGAGCAGGTGGTGGAAGGGTTGTCGGTTCAAATGTACGCCTTTAAAAAGAAACTCAGGGTAAGTGAATGAGAAACTTCGGTCACAACAGGATACTTGAGAGCCGGCTAATGCATCATTCCAGTTCATTACACCTTGGGTCATTTGGCGTATTTCCGATCAAGTTATAATAACATTTGAGTCAAGAAAGAAGTCGCTGCAATCAAGGAACGAGGTAAGCTGGAAGTACTGGGCCAAAAAAACACAAGCGCTCAGGCTCCAATTGTAAAAAAGAAAGTAGATGTAGTGACTGTCACCTCTCACATTGGTTTATGGTGAACTGTTTTGAAACCTGGAGCAATTCTTTGTTTTTTTGATAAAGTAAAATAATAAGTCTTGTCTGCTGAACACCAGACAAATTGGACATCTCTTCAATTTGACAGACCCTATATCTTTACTCAAAAACTCATTCAAAAACCCATTGACTATGAGACAAGGGTACAGGAAGTGCTAATATGCCAACTCATTTCCAAGTTCAGGACTCATTCCGGCACTAATTCAGCTGCTTGGATACAAAATGGTTGATAATGTGACTGGAGAGTAAAATCTAAATCACTGTTGACTGTTCGGTTTCTCCCTGAGACATCTTTCTTACTTTGTCTCTTAGTCTGCTTCTAGTGTCTCGATACTGTATCTATAAACTCAATTCAATTTAAAAACGAGTATCTGTTTCACCTGCACGATCAAACTGCAACCTCAACCCTGCAGCGATCAAGATCACTTTATAAACACTAGGAATATGTTTAACCGTAGTTAAGAGCGTAGAAGCACCAGTGTTCAGATGAACACCTCTCGTCTCAGTTGACAGGCAGAACATATTTGACAGCTGCTCTGCTCCTCGAAACCCCTTCAGCTCAAACAATGAACTTCTTCCACAAAAACAACAAAAAATAAGGGGTGAGGAGGGGGTGGTGGGGGGGGTGAACAGTAGAGAAAGTTACAGCAACAGCTGCACGGGACCCTCGGTGAGTAGAAAATGTCGTGAGAGAGAAGTGTCAGCGGGGCCCGGCGTTCACCATTAACGTGCCGTTCGGCTTGTAAGCCTCTCGCACCCCAACTCCATCACCCCCCCCCCCCCCCAACTCCATCCCTCACTGCAGCTGTCGCCCCTTTTTTCCACGTCTCTCTCTTGCTTTTTTTCTTGCATGTCTTTTCATTCTTGTGTTTCAAAAACACGTGAGGTAATTCAGCTTTTACTCTACGTGCTTTGTTCCATGCAACACAATGTCCCCACTGCACTTTACTCTGCAGCTGGAACCATTGCATGACACAGAGTCAATGCATTGATGGACAAAAGGAGTGACCACCAAAAAGGGGAGGGGGGGGGGAATTCACACTCTGACATCTAGCTACAGTAGCCATATTAAGTTATTTAAGTTAGGTGCCAAAATGCTTTGTTTCACCCCGATGGATAGCACTTATTCGCAATGCAAGTAACCTTCAAGAGGCCAAATCCACATTTCAACTGCAGGTGCACCGGCACCGAAAGCCTATCTATCAAAACTGTGGGTTTTCTCTGGAAGTGTTGTCGTACAAGTCCTTGTACGATGTGAGGGTCTAAGGACAGAGGGTGTCGTTTTTCTCATACTGATATTCTGAACAATCTGTGCTGTTGTATTTGCTGTAAAGTGTCTCTACTGTAGGCTATTTTTATTATATGTACAGCACTTTGGCTCGACCATAAATCGTTTATAAATGTGCTATATAAATAAAACTTGATTTGATTTGAAATCATATTCTCACTTAACGCAGTTGTGGTGATTTGCATAGACGTGAAGCTATTTTTAATAGTTTTAAAGAGAAGGTTCAGAAAAGAAGTTATTCCAAAAATCTAAGTCACGTACATTTTTTAAAAAGGTGTTCTGAGAAACGTTCATATTTCAAGCCGATGTTGCCTAATTTTAACTTTTCAAATGCTTACTTGAGAGAGACAGTATAAATAATAATAATAATAATCCTTATATTTATTATAGCGCTTTATCAAAGACTCTCAAAGCGCTTTACAAATACACATTACACACACAGATCATACATGTAATGGTCATCTACTGTGGACAATACCCACAGGAGCAAATTCGGGTGAAGTGTCTTGCCCAAGGACACAACGGCCTGACGCAGTGGGGCGGGAGCGGGTTTTGAACTGGAGTTCACCAACGCCCCCTTGATCTGATGATCAAACGCACAGACCACTGCGCCACCCGTCCCTATGAGTATGAGCATGAGAAGCTTCCCTGACAGTCTCCAGAAAGTTTTAAAAGCTGCTATTATTGTCAGTGCTGCATTCAATAACAACTTGCATTCAATGCGGTTATTCAAACGATCGTCACAAAAAGCACTTTTAGCAAGAGAGAAGAACAATTGAAGAAGTGGAAGGGATTTTGCTTGGTATTTATTGCGAGAGAATGTTCTGCAAGCTGATTTTTGTGGAGGTAAATGTGATAAAAGTGGTGTTTTTGTGAGGAATTTACAAGAAAATTAGCTCAAAGAGGAACTTCATTGTTGGTCCACATGATTTAAACTGAAAAAGTCAAGTGTAAAAAGTTAAACCAGGTTCATGGATTTCTGTTTTAGCAAGCCATGTCTTATCACAAACACAGACAAATCCTATATGCAAAAAAGTGCAAAAATGTGAATACTTTCCAGCCCTGACTTAAGTTATCCCATGACTTAAAAGTAGTCCCATGACCTAAACCCCATGCAGCAGTATTGACAGGTCATGTATGGCACGTTGAAAGCAGCTGACAAGCGACCAGGAGGGCGTAATCCACTTGGTTTGTACAATGATCGGCCAAATGCAGTGTTTGCTCAGATGGCAGACTGGAACGAGCGTTTTTTTTGGAGGCTCACTGAGCACAGGTCAAAGGTAAAACAATTGTGCAAACAGAAAGGTCCTGGTGCTCGGTCATAGATTCCCTCAACCTGCCTGAAGCGGAGGCACCTGAATGTGTGGGCGCGTTCTCTGCAAACATACCAACATCCTGCCCAATTTACATGATGAGTAAGAGAGGGGAAACCACAGTGCCTCAGGCTGTCTGTTTGCGCCTAACTGCTAGTATTTCCCATGCAAATTGGGTTCCTGCAAGAACTAAAAAGTCAATGAAAGACAGATCATCGTCACCTGCCGACGTCATCAGCCTCGTTCATCTTAAACAATGTATACGTTTTAAAACAGGGGGGTCCAAACTTTTTTCACCGAGGGCCACATACAGAGAAATATACGAAGGGCTGGGCCGCTCACTAGAGGTATATCGCCTCGTAAGTTCAGTTATCAGTTAGCAAATCAATCAAATGTAGGTAAAGGATGCTTGTGAGTGTTGGCAGCTCATCCCTTAAAACAGAAGCCTCACATTGATTACAATAAGGAGAAATAGGAAGGGTGTGTTTCAAGCTCGTTATGTAAATAAGTCATCGGGCTTTTTTCTTATCAACTAAGATATGTTAGAAAATGTTTCCGACTTTAATCGACTGAATTAATTCTAAAAGTGGTTTTATTAACACATGAATACTACCATGTAATATATGTGTACAGATATATTTCAGAAGTGCAATATAAGACAAGCACAAGTTTCATTTGTGGGCCGTGTAACATTATACTTTTAGAATTAGCTGATGGCCGATTCGAAATGGTCCCCAGGCCGTCTGTTTTAAAAAGTGTTTAAAATGCATGCTCTCATAGAAAAACGTCCCTGCACATCAAATCAAGTGCTCCCAAAACAAACCCTTCTCACCTGAATGTGGCGTCCATCGGAGGTGCCCAAATACGCCACAGCTCGGCCATGGACTGTTACCACGGTGATGGATGTAACCAAGGTGTTGGTCAACTCTTTCTGCCAGTACTCCAGCCTCTGGACGAACTGGGTCACCTGCAGGCGGTACTTGCTCTCCTTCCCTTCGTTGATTCCCTCATGTGGGTCGCAGTCGTCTGATGAACTCTGCAGAGAATACAACAAAGGCATCAGGTAAAGATTGTAGGTCAACCCTTTGAGAAACTCTATGAATCAAGCTATGATAATAATGTATTAACAATGTCTCTGACACCAAATAATGACTTATCAATCAATCAATCAACAACTTTATTAATCCCGCAAGGGGCAATTGGTTATGAGCAGCAGCTTATGTCATGTACACAGGCAGGAACATACAAGAAGAAAAACACACAGATACACCCGGGAGCACAGATGTGAATAATTCTAATTTACACTATAAATAGTTCAAAGCATCACAATAATACATAAATAAATAAATAATCAAGTTAAAAGCCTTTTCAAGAATTTAAAAGTTTGAGTGCAGAAGGGATGAATGATTTAGAAAAGCGATTAGTCCTTATAGAATAGGTTTCCCCTTCAATTGGAGACACAAGGTCCCACGATTGAATAATGCAACACTGAAGCACCTGTCGATCCTAAAATGAAATCCAGAGTCAATCCTGGATCAGGTGTATTTTAAAGGGTCTTGTTTTACGTCGCTGTAATGTTCTGTTCAGACCAAAAGTGATTTTCTTTTTTTATTGTTAGATTGAAGCCAGAATTCTGAGAAAAAGTCAGAATTTAAAGTCAGAATTTTGAGGAAAAGAAAGTCAGATTTCTGGGAAAAACAAAGTATTTTCTAGCTATATTCTCTTTGATTTCAGAACTCAAAATAACATTAACTTATGTTCAGATCTCAATGAAATGTTCAGATGTGGCCCTCATCCTCCTGGTATAAACTGTATATACGCGTAAGAATGACAGTGGAGATAGTGCTTCTTATTGTACATGATATCAATATATCCTTGTGGTCACATCCTCTTCGGAATAGAGAGTTGGCACGAAAATCAAAAACCTGGAACAAGCAGTAAAGACCGCGACACATTTTCACATAATGCAGTTTTCTTGGAATCGTCATCCAGATTGGATCGCCCCATCCAAACACTGCTCTCCTGCTTGTTATATAACACCATGTTGAACTATCTGCTTTCATATCTGGCCCGACGGGGGAGGGTTAAGAACCAAAACCTCCTAAGCCCCCCTTAGCCACTCTTTCATCAGGCCCTGCTCGTAATGGAGGTCTGCGTGGTTGTACCCCGAGGGCACAGGAGTTTTTGGGGCGGCAGGATTTCATGGGAAACAGCGAAGAAGACGTTCGTGCTGTTATTCATTCAAAAATGTAGTAGAGATACAGTGCACATTGATTTTTCTGTAGGAGGGTATTTGCAAAATAGACGCTCACAATACAGAAATAGCCAATAAACAAACAACAACAAAATATATTACATAGCAAGCAGATAGCCACGGGTTGAAGCAGTACAGTAAGACTTTGTGTAGTTTAGAAAGTGTAAGTGTTGACAGCTGATTCCCAACTAGCCATGTTCAAATGAGTTTTAAATAAACTAAATGTGGCATGTTCTGTAATTGTTGCTCGGATGGAGAAGGAAGACTAACTAAAATAACTTTTCCTGAGTGGGATCATTCTTCCGCACTTGAGGACCTAAAGTCTCCACGGCTCCACTTTTTCCTTTCCAAACTTCGCTGGGTCGTGCAGATTGTTGTGTCTGCAGTCTTTGGAGCATACAGTGAGAGCAGAGACTGTATCCAGAGTCTGATTCAGGGCCTCTTCTCGATCCCCCCCCCTCTGCCTTTTCACTTGCTTCGGCCCTTTTGGTGTTTAGTCATGGTCTCCTGTCCCAGCCTCAGGTTTCATTAATTATTAATGACCCACAGGGTGGCTCTTAAAGGTCCTTGACCCGACTGCCTGACCAGCCCCAGCTTTCTGTTGTTTTCTCAGCTTCAGTGGATGATGACCTCTCCACTGAAGGACGGGGGGGGGGGGGGGGGGGGGGGAGGGAGTACAGGTACAAACTTTATGAAGACCTGTGGACGGCTCCTTTCAAAAGTGTCTCTCAGAGCCAACTCCTACATGCCTCACTTTCCCCCAGCTGTAGAGAGTAACTTTTTTTACTGTAATTAAATTCGAGTTGATTTGTTATGTTACTTAAAGAGGACATATGTGTATTTAGTGTCTCTACTGGGACATGTCTCCATGCTCTAATGTTCAAAAATGTAGAGCCAAGAGCATTTAGACATACAGATGGAGGGTTCAACAGACGCTTATATGAGCTAATATTGGGAAGAAGCCCTATTCTGCTCATTTTCAGGTTCTTATTTATATTCAGATGCCTCTACTGTGACATGTCTCCATGCTTCAATGTTCAAAAAGCTCTTTATTGTCCTCATACTGCCTGTGCTGCAGCACCTCTTTTCACCCTCTGTCTGAAACCAGAGCCCAGTCTGCTCTGATTGGTTAGCTGGCCGGCTCTGTTGGGATTGGTCAACCGCTTAGAGATGTCCCGCCCCTTAGCCTATCAAATACAATGTGTTGGAGAGTAGCCAATAGAAGTGTTACAAAATGATGTCACTATTTTACTGAAATAAACAAAAAGGAGTCTAATAGGCCATTTTGCATCAAGAGTGGTTTTACTTTTGGTATTTTTAAGTATATTTTCATGCCAATATTTTGTGAATTGTAAATACTAACAGGGTATTCTTTACAATTTAGCATCACTACTTTGATTAGAGTTAAAGATTTGAGTACTTCTTTCACAACTGCTTTCCTCAGAGAGATGTTTTTGACTTTAGTTTTGATTGTTTGTTTAATTTTACAAACTGATCTTGTTTTAATCCTCTAAATGAAGAAATGCCTGGGCCCTTATTTGTGGTACATTTGCTGCATCATTGGTTTAGTGTTTAAGCTCGCTTTGAAGATGAGTAATACATCAGGTGCTTCTTTCTCAATGACCTGACATCGCCAAGATGAAGGGAAGAGACAGCTAACTGCAAACCTTGTTAAAATCAAAAGTCCTGAAGCTCAGTGGCAGCAGTCAGAGCCAACGCTGGAAATGTGGAGGAAATTGAAAGCTGGCTGAAAGGTTGGATGTTTTTATGCCAAGCACACAGCTGTGAGGCGGTGCAGCCAGCTGATCTGCACTGAATTACTGCACATTAAAAGAGTGATAAGAACTGACAATTAAATAGATTTAAGTTGGATAAAGTTAAGGCCACGTCGGAAAAGGTGATGTTTGATGGGCTCGATGTGTGAATCTGTGTGTTTCGGAAGTACACCTTTACCTAGCAATCCAGCGTGAATGACGATCTATTTTATCTTCAGAACAGATTAAGAAAGGGGAAACTGCCAATACTTCTTATTTCTTCTCAAAACTACAACAGTCACCGCTATGGACATTTCACCACGCGGCTCAAGAAACAGACCCTGGACGGATTATTTTCAGAGCAAACAAACCGGGATGTTTGTTGAAGCGGAGCAGGGCGATGGGAGGGAGAACGTGGAGGAAAAAAAAAAGGTCTTGGAGGCATTCCTCTGCCCCGGCTAAAGGTATTCCCGAGGATCAAGGCAATGAAATTGGACAGTGGAAAGGCTGTTTTGACAGGCTCTGTTTGAAGCTCCGCTGCAGTTATCCGTGGCTGCTTTTGGCTCGGAGAGAGAGGACGACACACTGACCCTGACAGAGAGGGCAACAGGTTCTCCAACAAAAGGGACAAGAAACTTGAATATATATATATTGTTAGTGGCCAGTGATATACAGTAAAACATATTTTGACTATAAGATTTCAGGAGAAATACAAAAATTCAACTATTGAAAAAACAAGGAACACATATTCTCTATTATTGATCTTCGCGTAATGGTGGTTTTTTCGAACATTGCAGCAGCTTCTAAACCAGAGTAAGGACTACAAAAAACTCAACATTTTGGGGCGGTAGGGGTACAAATTATTTAAAAAAAGACTTATCTACTTCGTAGGTTAAGTTAAATCATGATTATATTTATTAAATATTTATAACTTCGTCCTTTTCGACCCTCCCTTTGGTTACGAAAAGACTGAAGCAAAGTCACTTGTGGCCTTATTGAAAAGATACAGTAGGAGAACCTGTAGGCAGTCCCTTTTGAAATAGAGCATAAACAAAAGATCAATCATTGAGTCAACAAAACCCCCAGTTATGTCTTTTAATACTGATTTCATTGAAGTTTAAAGCACATGTTTCAACTTTCTTGCATTCATCTTTTGGAAGATTTACGATGCTGGCAGGTGTTGCTGATGTTCTACATCTTCCGGGCCGTTTTGTGACCGTGTATTCCAGCCGTAGAACAGGCACCGTGGGGCAGAAACGTGAAATACTGTACACCTTTTGCCCCATACTTAACCAGCAGCCATTGTCCCCCAGACAACGGCGTGGCGATAGGGTTTCCGAGTCGTGGGGCTCCTAAACCCTGCGGCACTGCTCAGGAAGAGTCAAGAAGAGGGGGTGAAAGGTGATCTGCATGCTCTAATGTCGTGTTCATACTCTCACTGCGGCCCCCGGGTCCTGTGTGAATAGACACACTAATGCCTGCATTATGAACCGGGGACTGGGTTACCAAGAGAGAAGGTTTTGCATACAACCACTGTCTCTGCGGTGCAAAAATAGGGTAACGGCGCTCTTGCTAATGTACAAAAATACTCAGCGTGTTGTGGAGGCTTAGCCAGAGTTAGCATGCTTGCACACATGCACGAAGTCTGTCTGGTGGCTGGACGCTCAGCTGGCCCTCTCTCTGGAATAACAGACCTTTGACCCCCGCATTGCACCAGCAATTGTGCGTCCAGACAGCAGGGAGAGGTTTGGATGTCGTCGGGGTGTGTGGAAATGACATTTTTCAGAGAAAGTGAAATGCAAAGGCATGTAGAGCGCACAAATAGCTCTCTGTGTGTGTGTGTGTGTGTGTGTGTGTGTGTGTGTGTGTGTGTGTGTGTGTGTGTGTGTATTGTTGTGGACACACATTACATTACCCCACCTGAACATATAGGGTGCACGTTACTCTGCAACCTGACTCTCAGTGAATGTAATGACCGTGAAGTGTGTGTGTTTAAGTACGCAGGTGGCTTCTTGTACCGAGTGCATG